ATAGCTTTGATATTTAAAAATATTTTGGGGGTGCCTGGGGTGGCTCAGTCAGTTAAGTGTCCGACTCTTGATTTCAGCTCAGGTCATGATCTCAGGGTCATGAGATTGAGATCAAGTACAGTGTGGAGCCTGCTTTAGATTCTCTCTCTCCCTCTCCTCCCCACTCATGCTCTCTCTCTAAAAAAATTATTTAATAAACAAACTAAAAATAAACAAACAAACTTTTAAATTTCATCCATTGGCAAAGAGAAACAGGCGATTTTCAAGCAGGGGAGTGACACTAGGCCTATTTTACAAAGACACGCTGGAAGTTGGTGGTATTGTAGCTAATGAAATTATGAAAGGGAGAGATCACAGGCAGAGAAGCTGCTCTTTAACATTCCTAAGACAGGATGAGATCTAGAAAGAAGTCAAACTTGGAGGCAGCTGACTTTTTGGTTCCCAAGCTGAAGAGTTAATAAAAACATACAATCATTACTAATTTATAGGCAATATATAAAGACAGGAATAAGACAGATAAGATTACTTAGAACAGTCACTCGAGAGCTGAAGGAACTTTGAGAAACACATATAGAAAGGACCTGCTATGGTCTGAATGTCTGTGTCCCCCCCAAAATTCATATGTGGAAATCCTAACCTCCAAAGACGATGGTATCAGGAGGTGCGGCTTTGGGGAGGTGATTAGGTCATAAGGCAGATTATAATGTGCCCTTTTAAAAAGAGACCCCTCAAGAGCTCCCAAACCCCTTCCACCATATAAGAACATGCTAGAAGTTGAGAATCCTGCAACTGAGAAGAGGGACTTCCCCAGAACCCATGCGGGCATCCTGGTCTTGGACTTCCAACCTCCAGAATGATGAGAAATAAATTTGTTACTTATAAGCCATCCAGTCTGTGGTATTTTGTTGTAACAGCCTAAACAGACTAAGAGCTGAAAATCTGCCCTAAAAGACTAAAAAAAAAAAAAAAAAAAAAGTCCAAGGGAAGTAGTCAGTTGTCTAGTTTTAAGGCAAATGGGGGTAGTTTAATGCCATTAAATAGTTTATGTTTCATCAGACTGACATATTTTAAAAGACTAATCACGTGCTCTTTTGGTAAAAAATAAAAATTCTAATACATTAGAAGAAATGCAAAATACAGGGGCGCCTGGATGGCTCAGTCGTTAAGCGTCTGCCTTCGGCTCAGGTCATGATCCCAGGGTCCTGGGATGGAGCCCCGCATCGGGGTCCCTACTCCCCGGGAAGCCTGCTTCTCCCTCTCCCACTCCCCCTGCTAGTGTTCCCTCTCTCACTGTGTCTGTCTCTGTCAAATAAATAAAATCTTAAAAAAAAAGAAATGTAAAATACATTGATATAGAGTTTATGAAGTATAATTTAAAATGTCAACATTTTAAATGCATAAACCCTTGACTCAGCATCTCCCCCTTTAAGAATTTATAAATAAAAATATAATTTATAAATAAAAAGAATTCACCCCATAGATATACTTTCATAGTGCACAAAGATATAACTACATGCATACATGCATTATCCACTGCAGCATTATTTGCAATAGTAATAAACTGAATTATTACAAACCAAAAAATAGGTAACAAAACTACAGTCTACCCATATTATAACACTAACACAACTATTTAAAAGAATGGGGGACCTGAACATATTGACATAAAAGGATGTCTAAACAGACTTCTTAAGTGTGGTGGGGGGGGCAGCATTATAGAAGCATATGTATACAATAATTCCAGCTCTGTTAAGAAGAACAAAACTGTGTATGTTCATGTATGTGTCACACGGGAGAAATATAGAAGAAAAGGCCATATGCTTTTAACAGCACTTACTCTAAGGGAAGTTAGACTTTTTGGTTCCCAAGCTGAAGAGTTAATAAAAACATACAATCAGTGTGAATGAGAGGCTTGGGAAAGAGGGTGAGGCTGCACTTCATACTCTTTATACTCTGTTGCACATGTATTACTTTGGTAAGAATTTTTAAAACACAAATACAAATATAAATACAAAAAAAGTTAAAAGAAATTTAAGACAACTAGAACTAAAATAAATTCCTAATAAACAAAAAAAACTGGTAATTGCCATTCTCACCCTTGATCCTGATCTTTCTATTACCTTTTTTCACAAGGCCACCATCATCCTTTCAGCTACCTAAATTAAAAAACCTAGGGGTCACTGGGGGTGGGGGACTCAGCCATCAAAGAAAAAGAAATCTTACCATTTGCGATGACGTGGATGGAATTAGAGGGTATTATGCTAAGCAAAATATGTCAAACAGAGAGAGCCAATTATATGATTTCACTTATATGTGGAATTTAAGAAACAAAACAGGATCATAGGAGAAGGGTGGGAAAAATAAGGTAAGACAAAATAAGCAGGGAGACAAATCATAAGAGACACTTAACTATAGGAAACAAACAGTTGCTGGAGGGCAGGTTGTGGGGGATGGGTAACTGGGTGATGGGCATTAAGGAGGGCACATGATGTGATGAGCACTGGGTGTTATATGCAGCTGATGAATCACTGAACTCTACCTCTGAAACTAATAATATACTATATGTTAATTAATTGAATTTAAATAAAATTAAATTAAAACAACAACAACAACAAAAACCAAACCTTGGGGTCATTCTTTAGTCCTTCCTCTCTCTCCCTCTACTTCATTCTTCATTCAGTAAATATTTATTACCAAGTGCTTTCTATGTTCTAAGAGCTATTTTAGATACTGAGAAAACTACATTCTAGTTTGACAGTTATAGAAAACTGTTTATAGTTTGTCTCAGAACAAATATGACAGACACAAAAACCAAAACTCTGCCAAATCAATTCTAAGTCCTCTAACTTCCGTTTCCTAAATACCACTGAAATCTCCCCCACAACCTAATTTCTACTGCTAATTTTCATTGTTCAAATAAGAGACAATGAGAAATTAAACTCCTGTAATTTTATCCTTTCCAAATTCTTCACATCTCTTTAATCCACCTTCATACTATTAAAAGTGAAGTTGAACATGTCGTTCTTCTTGCGGAAATTTTTCAATGCTTCCATTATCTTCTGAATAAGAAAAGAAACTTTAATATGCAAAGTCCTTCCCAACGCCTGTCTATGTATCCTTTGGGTCCACCTCCTCTCTCACCCTCCAACCCATATACTTCACACCAGCCAGGAGAACTGCTAGGTTACCTAACATCCATATTTTCTCATGCCTCCATGCCTTTAAGGCATTACTTCTGCTTAGAATTCCTTTTGCTCAACCCTAGCAAACTCCTGTATATTCTTTAAGATTCAGATTTAGAAGCCTCGGTTTTCCTCTACAGTCCTAATGCACCTCTCCACTCCTAACCCAATACCACAACTATTTACAGTAGCTATCTCCTATAAGTTCTGTAAGGACAGGCACCACACCTCACAGTCTCTCTGATCCTAAAATGTATTTTAACAGCTAGCATGTAGTAGATATTTTACATCCATCTCATGAATAAAGAATGAATCAATGACTGTTTAAACAGTGGTGTGACCTTGAGTAATAAGGTGTATAACCTGAGACTTAATTTCCTAACATATAAAAAGGAGGGTGACTATATGTACCTTGCAGGGTTGTTTTGATAATTACAAGATAAGTTGAAATTCCTAGCATGGTGTCTGGTATTTAGTAAATATTCAGTAAAAGTTGGCTTAACATACTTTTAGAAATAAGGTTGTTCAAGCTACTCAGGGAGCAGAGCCTTTCTATCCTTACTTCTTTGGTAACCTTAATCCTGAATTTCAAACAAATTTAGAATACATCCTAACTAAGCTGGAGTCCTTTATTCTCCAGCTAGTAATCTTCCTTGGGCAGGCTTTCTTCATGCTAGCAATACTGAACTATTTAACATTCTTTCTCTCATTCAAGGTTTTTGCTCTACTTGTCTCTTTTGTCTACAATTTCACCTCTTCCCTCTTTCCCTCTTAGCTAAATTTTAAAGATACTGGAAAGTCCACAAGAAAATCTAGTTTTGTTTAGTTTCCTGTTTTGCTCTATTAATCTATACTGCAATTATATAAATCTATTACTTAAAGCTGATCATGTCCCATCCCCGTTATCAGTCAGTCCTGCAACTGTGAATAACTGCTGTAATTTCTTATTTATCTTTCAGTTTTCTAATGCTATTAGGAATTTACCTGGTGATGTCAGTCTTCACTGACAATCCAGCAACATGACTTCATATTCAGACTCCATGCCATACACTTGAATACTGATTCTTAATTATCCTGGGTTCTCTCTGCTATTGTGTCATAGGCATTAGTTTTAACTGCAAGCTCTGAAATCTTGTCTTTGAGTTCTGGTTCCCTTAATACTAAGGACAGTCTTGAGCATAAAAGCCAATAAACACTTCCAAATTAACTTCAAAAAAAAAAAAAGACATAAAATCCTAAACAAAATTACAAATACTTTAAACATATCTGTAGGTCACTGAGGACACAATTTATATTCCATTATCATCCACCTTCTTTAAAATTTGTATGTGGGATACTGAACAGCCAATTTCTGAATACCCTATTCTGTGTGTGTGTGTGTGTGTGTGTGTGTGTAAAACTTTTCCCTAGGCTCACAAAATTCCACCTCTCCAAATTTATAATTTCAGAATTAAAAAACACGACAGAACACTACAATCTTGTTTCATTATTGTTGCAATAATATGTTTTATCTATAGGTCACTGAGAAAACAATTTGCGTTCCATTCTGATCTACCTTCTTTAAATTCCTTATGTGGGTAAGTAATCAAGTAAACAAAACACAACTTGGCTTAATACATAAGAAAACTATTTTATACATACTATTTACATGTTATAGAACATTAACATTTTCTGATAATTTTGAAATTATGTCTAAAAACCTAGCAAAAAAAAGCAATTTTTTAAAACACTGAAGTCTACATTATCTATATGTGACATGGCTCTGAATGAAACCATTTTTTAGAGAAAATGGGCAAGATCTATTTACTAATAAGTTACCTGTAATCATTCCGATCATCAGCTTTTATTCCAGGCCAATCTCTCTTCAGATACTGACTAGCCAACTTCTGGATACCCTGTTAAAATACATATATATACATATTTTATAAAATAAGCACTGTGCCATAAAAGAAGCTCTTTTCCTTAAAGTATATTATTTGGCAAATCTCATCTTTTCAAATGTCAATTTAACTCAGAAGGACCAATGATAAATGGTAAAACATTATAACCTGGTTCATTCTTGTCACAGTCCTCTTTTGTCTCCATTTTTAGGAAAGGGTGAGTATAAGGCTGAAAAAATTGAAACTTAGTCAATATGCTTTTCACGTCACCAAACTATCTGACCAGCCATAAAAACAAACTACCTCTGGAATATCACAGGGAACACATCTGTCCACCTCCCCAGAGCTCCGATTACACCGCTCGACATCTCAATTCCCCACCATTCTTCTGCTGTGGCGTGGACCACATTTCTAAATCCAAACTTTCGTATATCATGAAAGGCAACAACACTTTCAGTTTGGGGCAGATACATGTTCGCATGTAAAATTAGTGAACATACCTTGGTGCTAACTATTCCATAGTAGTCATTTTGATTCAAGACAGATTTTAAGGTTTTTTTTTCTTTTTAAATAATATCATGGCACAGATCACTTCAAATAAAGAAATTAGTTTTACAAAGAAATATACCTACTTACTGTTATCCACACAAAATGAATGTGGAAAAAACAGTATTTGTCTACACCAGGTACTGTGGGTACCAGGATTTGAACAGAGAAGACTATTTTATTGGCAAGTGAGATTAAACTACTCACTCTGAACACAGAATGTATTACTTTTAGATGGGAACATATGTGGTCTCCTAACACTCTAACAGGGTTCAATGTACAGGATTAGAAATCATCTACCTTAGGATACTCATCTCTACATGCAACTTCAAACAGAATAAATAAAATGCTGAGATGAAGAACAATCACATTAATTAACAGATTGCCTACTTTAAGCAGAGGCTGCCTAAGAAAAATCAATGCTGCACTCTATATATGGCACCCTTCTACTAAGGTCTACTGCCAAATCAATTTGGCATTAAATCCACTGTTGAATTAAATCCACTGTTGAGTGCTTCTATTTATCATTATTTCAATGAACCCAAAGGGTAGCAGGAACTGTAGAGAAGCTCCTTTGAACCTCAAGTTCCTCCTGAACTTGGCAATAGTTTGGTTTTGCTACTGCAAGGCACTGTTTTCTGAGAACTCACAATTGCATATGCACAATACTTCCATTTACATACCTTGCACTTTGGGCAGCCCAATCACTAAGATTTCCCTGAATATGTAGAATACTTTTTCACCTTTGTACCTTCTTCATATTGCTATTTGCATGAAATATCTTCCCATCATGCCCATTCCTACCTGAACTCTCACCACCCTCCCTTTAAGCTGATTTTTAAATTTCCTAACACCAAATATTCAAAATTATATATAGGAAAATGTGAAAATTTCCTAGGTATTTAACTTCATTTCATCAAAATAGAATAGTTTATTCTTCTTTCTGCAGTTACTAGCTGGAATTCTTTTTTAAAGAGCTACCTCTCCCGAACTATTTGGTTATCCTGAGGTACAGTTCTTAGAAGAAAGGCAAGATAAATATTTGGTTGTCCAGTTTTGCCCAAAGGTGAACAATGAATTTTTAAAGTAACATTATGAACTCATATATTTTAAATAATGGATGTGTTTCAACTTACTGCAGTCACTACTCTTTTGATTCTATAATTGTTAATCTGTGGTAAGGAGTCCCTCCCAGTTGGCTACCACATCATGACCCCAATAGGCTTTGATAGTTTCTTTGTTTTTCTTTTACAGTTTCTACTCCAGATCTGCTAAGCTAGTTTTCTAAGGAATTCTGATTCCTTTCAGAGAGAAACAAGATTCAGAGACCACAGTCTAGGTACTACCTTATTCTTCAGGTCTTTGTGTCTTTCTCTAAGAGGCTTTTTCTAATCATAAAGAGTAACTCACCCTCCTCCACCCAGTTACTGTCTCACACCACCCCCACTTATTCATAATCCTTATTATGTTGTTACTATCTGGTTTAAATATATTTTATCTGTTTACTGATTATAAACTCCATCAAGTAGGCATCTTACCTTTTTTTTTTAAATCACGATGTCTCCAGGCTATAGCAAAGAAGCTAGCATTTAGTTGATGCCAATAACATTCACTAATTGCACAAATAAATACCACCTACATTATTCTATTTCCAATGTATAATACCCAAACTCCTTTTGTGTTTTTGCCATTCTGAGTTAGAAATGTCTAAATCAAAATTTCTCTGGTTCCTCACTTTTCTTCAGGGGAGAAAAAAAAATGTACTAGATTTCTAAGATTATGACCAGGTGGTTTAAGTATAATAAATAAGTTCCTTTGTAAAAATTACAGTCAAATTTGACCATTTCCACTATTGGAAGAAAACATATGTGTGGATACTCCAAAGCAATGAAAACCAAAAGTACCAGAATTTATTCCATCCCTAGAAGGCACTGCACATTAATTATTGTGCAGGTTCAAATAAACGAAAAGAACTCATAATATATGGACAGGAATAAGAAGTATGTAACATAAAATGGGAGGTAACACATGGTTACTACCAAATAAGTGGAAATATGTGATGTAATTCCCAGGTGAGGAAAAGATCACCTGATATTTTCTTAACAATTTACATTTAAATGAAATGATAGCTGACTTACTCAGTTTAATGACTGCCAAAGTCGTTGCAGAACATTTCATACAGATCATTATATATGAGCCTCAGATTATGAGTAGGACTAAGAAGGCAGAATGACAGCACTCAAAATTTATATAAAACAAATTAACTTGACAAGCATTTCAACACATTTGTTTCTCTTAACTCTGTTAGGTCTTGTTATAACCACAGAGAAACTGGACATCTAAGAGAATACCATAATTTACTTAAGATCATATAAAACTAGTTAGGTTTGAATCTGAATCCCTACTTACCATTCTAAATCTTTGCCAAAAAACCATCATTTTAGAGTGGATTTTATCTAATTCTTTAAGAAAATTTCTGAAATTACTTTAACTTATCTTTTTCTGTGCATTGTAAGTTACAATAGCAATTTCTAGAGCTCTGAACCACAAAGTTGAACTGTATTAAACTGAATGAACCCTTCAGAGATGAGATGAGGGATTCATGAAATAGATAAACAGTGAGATCTTTAGATGAAAGACTTTATTCAAGTTAGTTCACAGAGGCAGGAATCATGACTTCTGTGTGCTCCATGCAGCTGTTCAAGATCTATCCTGTATCGCTGCTCAAGAAATACTCCATGGCCATTATAGGAAAGGTCTTAAATAACATTTCATGTCTTTGAAAGCATTCTATACTTAAATTAAGTTTCCCTTTTAAGTTATACTTAAAGCTACATCTTATGAATAAAAAGCCTGTATACACAGAAAATAAAATCTATCCTAATTAAGTGGCTAAGAAAAATCTATGGCCAGAAATTTTCTAAGAAGTGTTTTGTTTTTTTTTAAATCACTCCCCCATGCCACAACATTATTCCCTAAAATTGGTGCACTAGCCATATAATACTTATTTATATTTAACTGAGCATCACTGATGGACCACGTTGATTTGATTTCCAATATAGTTTACTCTGCAGCAGTGGTTTCCATAAAAATGTACTATCAATATACTCTTTGGAACAGCCAATAACATCCCATTCCAACCTTTTAAAAAGCTATCAGTGTCTGATGTAAGACTTGCTTTGTTTTACCTCTCAATAACACTTGCTATATTGCTCTAACAAGTGAAGCAACACAAAGAAAGCCACTGTTCAGCAGACACTGGGAAATGAACTGATGGCTTAACCTTTTGCCCATTTGCCACAGCAAGCTGAGCAAGAATGTGCTCCATGGCTCACACAGGTTATTCCATACCCGTCCCATCCCCTTAACATACAGAGAAACTAATATTTAAATTTTACTAAGGGTCGGCCATCAGATGGCTCTTCAAAATTATAGGACCCCATGTTATTTTTTTTTAAGATTTTATTTATTCATTTGAGAGAGAGAGAGGGCGTGCATGAGCGGGAGGAGGGGCGGGGGGAGGGACAAGCACACTCCACACCGCTCCCCCTCCACCCCCCGCCAAAACAGGGAGCCCTACATGGGGCTCATTCCCAGGACCCCGAGATCACGACCTGAGCCGAAGTCAGATGCTTAACCAACTGAGCCACCCAGGTGCCCCAGATACCATGTTAATTTATATACTATACACCTTTTTGCTATGACATTCCCAAATTATGCAAATGACTTTTAAAAATTAACAAGTCCATTGCATAAGCAGGATAGTTCTCAAACTGACATAAATTATACAATAATTGTCTTTACTATTCTTAAATTACTTTAATAATAATGGAGAACTTCACCCTTACCCTTAAAGAAAGTTTTGAAATATTTTTCATTCTTTCCTGTGGTTCATAATTGCAGTTAGCATTAATCAGCATATTATTTAAAAGTACACAATAAACATAATATTAATCTTAACCTCATGTATTAAACATTACATATTTTTAGCCTTTTCCTTTTATCAAAAATAAGATTAATTTTGTTTAATTACATAAGAAAAAACAACATCTTTAAGATTTTACTTGAGACAGAGAGAGAGCACGAGCAGAGGAGAGGGGCAGAGGGAGAGGGAGAAGCAGACGCCCCACTGAACAGGGAGCCCAATGCAGGGCTCGATCCCAGGACTCTGGGATCATGACCTGAGCCAAAGGCAGACGCTTAACTGACTGAGTCACCCAGGTGCCCCAAGAAAAAACAAGATCTCACGACATTTTAAATGACTTATCCTATCTGATTTGAGAACCAAATAAAAAAAAAAACATGAAATTTAACATTCATTCATGATTAAAAACTCTCAAGAAACTAGAAGCAGAAGGACCATTCCTTAACCTAGTAAGGGCGTATATGAAAAACCTACAGCTAACATACTTCTAATGGAGAGTGAATGTACTGGGAGAGTGGTATACCCAGAGAGGGCAAAGAAGCTC